GTGTATATTCGAGTTTCGGGTACTAGTTTCGGGTACTAGTTTCAGTTATATAGAATATTTTTTTTCGTTAACAAGCATCTCTTTTAGGACTTTTATCAGATGTTATTTCTACGAAATATTCAGGTTTCTGTGAGGAATGAAAAAAAAACGACTTTTAGCTTTCACCAAGTTGTGTATATTCGAGTTCCGGGTACTAGTTTCAGTTACATAGAATATTTTTTTTGTTAACAAGCATTTTTTTTATACTTTTATCAGGGCCGTGGCTACGGCTTTTATATAGAATATCAGCGAAAATATATTTGTATCGATTTCTGAGATGCTGATAGTCTCTGCTATCTCAATATTCTTCCAATGTAGTTGTCTTATAAACTCAAAATTTCGCAATTTTTCTCATATTAAAAATTAGCAGGCCTAAGAAATATCTCTCAGGAGCTAAAAACTAGGAAACGAATATTCTTTTTTTACTATTAAAACTACACCAACCAATCAGTTGTAGTACATTTCGCTTACTATAATTAAACCAAAAGTTGGTTTAGTCCTCTGCAGTGATTCCAGCAAATACTCTATCCAAAAAGCAACCTAAAATCATACATATTAACAAATCTTATACCTGAGCTACTTTTTTATTCGAATTCTGTACCGCAATTGTTCATAGGCACCTGAGAATATGGTAGCCATTTTCGGTATTTTATGTATTGCTACCATCACTTCATATAGTTCACCGAAATGTCAAATTCAGACGACTACTCATGACAGATAGCCAACAATATATGCGATTTCTAGGGTGAATATTTTGAATATTTTTAAAAAATATATGTGTACTATATTTCTATTTAATTTACGAAACTGTTGAATTGAGTATTTTATCAAAATTCTAAAAAAAAAAATGTTTGTGTAGGTCATTGTTTTCCATTTATTTATGTATATTTTTTTTTGGAATTCTTGAATAAATTTGATTATGTTAATGCTGTAAGCAGTCCTTCTCTAATAAGTAAGCTCGGAGTTGTTATCTGCGCTTTCTAATATGTTGAGGTTAGTAGCCATACACAATAGAGAACCCTATTATAGCAGTCGGGGAAAGTAGACCAGAAACTTTACACCATTTGCCTTACCTTAATGGTGTTATTCATTTTATTTGCACACTTAACGCTGAGACGGTTATTTTGTAGTTTTTTTTAGTATTTCAAATTATGTTCCTGATTTTCATTGAAAGAACTTTTTATGAGCGAGTCATCTACCTAGAAAATAAAAGATTTTACGTTTCAATGACGCTTCAGAGCTAGAATAAAGGACTTTGGACACAGAGCAACTGTAAAATTATATTCCATTCTATTTACTGCGCTAACTATTCTTGGCCTCTAGAGTGCTATAACTTAAGGATGCTCTCCCATAAAGTGCACTTTCAGACTTTATTAGCGTAAAAATACCGTAAACTCAACTAAAATTTATACAAAGACTCGCGCACATTTCTATTTTCGCACAAGTGCGACAACCACAATGTAGATTATAGCTTTGAATGAAAACGTGCTCGTAATTAACACTTTCACCCGACGGAATTGCGGTTCATTGTGTTCAATTTGCGACTTGGTGCTGCCACACGGAGTCAAGTGTTCGTATTTCCCTTTCGGATTTCCGCACGTACAAACCGAATTAACTTAACCGATGCTTTTTAAACTAATTTTATTTTTCACGTTTTTGTTTTGTGTTGTTGTTGTTGTCGTTGTCGGCTTTGGTTTGCCATTTCACGTCGACATTCTATATTCCGGTCATCGGACGCTTTGCATTGTCTGTTTGCAGCAAGTGGTGCACACTTAACGGTAATTACGCATACACGTACATTACTTAACAGCACATTTAATTTTTAGTTTTAATTGCCAGCGAAGTGGCAGAGAAGCGCGAAGTGCGCGAGCATGAAGAGAGCCATTGATTTTGCTCGACTTGTGGCAATTACACGCACGTGCACACACACAATGGCATAAACATATGTAATACGTCCATTTAATTGATGTTTAACGCATGTCTTTGGTGTTAAAGCATGAAGCTTCCGCGTTGCGTTGTGCGAATGACCCATTTTCGCGTTAATTAGCTTTTTTTTAATTGAAAAATATTTCGCTTTCAACTTGAAAATTTCATTTAAGATTGAAAAAACTCTCAAAAATCTTAATATTTTTATGTCCTACGATCTTTGTTGATCTCGATATAACTGTTGCTAATTTCTTAAGAGGTTATATCCTGAAAAACTTGTTTTTTCTTTGTAAACTCTTTTTGGAGAGGCATTTTATTTAATAAATAAATAAAAAAGAAGAAACTGTTAACCTCGGTTGCACCGAAGCTACAACAACTTTAACAAATACAAAATATTCCATTCAAGCACTTTATCCTGATCGTTTAGTTTGTATGGCAGCTATACGCTATAGTGATTCGATCTGAACAATTTCTTCAGATTGTACTTCTGCTTTAGAAAATAACCCAAGCCAAATTTAATGAAGATAACTCGTCAAATCAAAAAGTTTGCCAAACAAGAGTTGATTCCGATAGTTCAGTTTGTATGGCAGTTATTGCCTATAGTGGTGCTATATCGGCAGTTCCGGGAGATAAGCAGCTTCTTGGGGAGAAAAGGACGTGTGCAAAATTTCAGATCGATATCTCAAAAATCAGGGACTAGATCGCGTATACACAAACAGACGTTCTTGGCTCGTCATGCTGATCATTTTGCATGTTTTTTAGGGTCTATGAAGGTTCTTCCTTCTGTCCAGCATATAAATATGTACATTTACATAATTAAATGTACATTAATAATCGGCGATTAATCTTTTTATTTCCTTTATCCCGTAGCGGATCTCCAGGAGGACCTCCGAAAAAAGGTGTCTGGCTTTTCTGTTTAAAATTATCTTAAATTCAAACCACTAACTAAATTTAATAATACTCAAGATGAATACAGGTATTGAATAATTGAAGGACTAGTAAAATTTTGATTTTTGACAAAATGGCGGCTTCAAAAAAATCTTTTGTAAAAAAAGTTATTCTTCAGAGTTACTAAAAAATATCTAATTATTACCAAAAATCGTACTCCTTTCATCATTTTTTGAAAAATATGTCTAAGAAGGTCATGAGAATATTTCAAATCGATCGGTCCCGTTATTTCGGAGAAATTTACCTCGCCGACTTTGAAAAAAGAGCCTTTGAAGAAAAACCTGTTTAAAGTTTTGGAATCAATACGCTCATATCTCCGAAACAGTTTGCCGGTTAAACTTAAAATTTGTGTAGAATATTCTCAAATATATTTACATTCGCTATATATGCAAAACTTAAATTTTTTGAAATTGACAAGTGGATATAACACTTTAACTGCCTCAGTCTTTTCTTATCAGTGAAACTACTTATATTTCGCACACAAACTCGTTGTGAATATAAATTAAACAAACTCTACTTATTCCCTTTTTAGCATATACCATACTTGAAGCCACGAATTTCGTTCCCCTTTGCTGTCATTAATGCGCAGCGTCGCACGGGTAAAGCGGTACTACACCGTGTTGGCTTTCACGAATATTCTAGCAATAATGGCAGATAATTTAGTAATGAATAGCAAATTTAATGAATGGCAGTCAAAAGTAAAATACCGAAGTCGAACAAAAAGAACTCGCGCCAGAAATAAAGAGAATAAACCAAATTTAGCAAATTTTTCGCCTTGAAATTCATTTGCGAAACGGTAAATTGCGTTGATATTGCAGTTGAACAAAAGCGCCAAAAGGCATAAAGAAACTTCCACGCTTTGTGGGTAGCGAGATAATTATGCAAATATTTCTGAGGTTTATTTGGTTTTTGCGTCATTCATTTATATATCTACTAGATGATATAATTAAGCCACGGATTAACCAAAGAGGTCTTTTAAAATTATGTATAAACTAAATTGTTTAAATTTAGTAAGAGTATCTGTATATTTCTTAAGGGTTTTTCAGGGAAAATGCGCTTGTCAATCTGAGTTGCAATCTTTGAAGATACAGTGCACCGCCAATACTTGCTCAATAAATTTTGGTAATGCAACTGCAGCTAACGGGTGATAACCATGACCATCACAAACTGATCATCACTAATTAATTTAATTGTAACAGTCTTTACAGCTCTAGCGTCACTCAGCTTTGATCAAACTATGTAAAAACATTGATGCGTGTGTTGAGATGGACGCGCCTCTGTTCTGATCCAATTTCACCCATATCCTAATAGTTTTTCTTTTTTCAATTAAATTCTCTTATCATATCGTCTTATTTAACTAGATCCTCCCGCGAATACCATAATATCGTCACATCTTATTTCAATGCATACAAACTCCCTAACCTGTTATATCACATCGAATCTGAACTGATGTGTTTTTATCTCATCTTATCTCGTCTTTTCTCATCACGTCTGGTTTCGTATTATTTTGCTTCGTTTCGGCTCGTTTTCCTTTTATTTCCTTTCATCTTCCTCCATATAATTTCGTCACGTGTCGTTTCACCTCGTCTCGTCTTGTCTCGTCTTATCTCATCCCATCTCATCTCATCTCAATTCATCTCATCTCATCTCATCTCATCTCATCTCATCTCATCTCATCTCATCT